GACTCATTTTTACATCAGAATCTGTGAGGACAATATCAAAGAATTATTGTATACAATATACGTCTGCTGTTATAAGTTGAATTGTAAGAACTGAGTTTCAATTACTACTTTAAAGAGTATGAAACATAATATATATATTTAACTCAACATAAATATCGTCGAGAACATTGGGATCAATGAAACAGAATGTATATATTAGAACACTAAATTATGTCGACAGTGTGGACAAAATGAAGTCGAATTGTCGGTTCCTTTTTCAAGACATACGAGATACGGACTCTTTTGAAGTATTTATCATTATAGGGTTTTAGCACACATTCCAATATTCCATTAAATTTTACTGTCAATTCAACACTTTATAACGATCCTTTGAGTTTGTATAGCTACACGTGATTCAATAGTCTGTCTGAGGTTAATCCGAATGTTCGTAACAAAAGACATTTAGAATTATTATATCGTTGGTTTACCGGTTAGGATTTTCATTTCATATGATCAATTTTACACTTTGATATATACTTTCAGCTAAATCCGTCCTCGATAATAAGGAGATATAATTGATATAATTATAGAGTACATTATATTTGAAAAAAAGACATCACAACCCGTCTCCAACTGTTGAATATTTTTTTGACTATGACATGTAAATTCCATAAGCATGCTAAGCTGGAATATTTAATTATGAGAAAATGAGCCTGTCACGATTATACATGAAAATGTATTGTCATACTTTCGTTTGTTATGAAATGCCGGAATGTTGAAAGCAACCAACAGTTGTTTTTCATATTTTTTGACGTGCAGTAAAGAATTCGATATTTTGCATAATGTTAAGCTTGCGCAGACACGTACGATAAATGGCGATGTCCATGCTAAAACGTGGTCGACAGGCAGGCAGACCGATGATCGAGAAAAATGTAAAAGCTTAAAAACAGATCAACAGCGGCGACAGATTGTTGAAAAAAAAATGCCGATAAAACTTCAGCCATTTACAAACAAAGAAAAAGATTGACATGGAAACATTGAAAAAGTTCCAAAGAGAAAACGACCAGGTGTGTCAGAAGGTTAAACGTCTATCGATTTCTTTTCTGCCCCATCGGTAAAAATAGCCATACTTATCTGGTCAATTTCACTTCAAAATAGATTATTACTATATATTGATATTGCCGCTTGCCTTTCTTTGAAAAGAAAAGACTCATTATAAAAGAATGAAGGCGTGCACTAAGTTCTATGTTGAGTTTGAAAATGGCAAATGTACTGATACAAAGAAATCTTGCAAAAAGAGGAGATGCTTAAGCTTAAACAATATTCGGATGTGGTCTTTACAATCTACATGCCATTAATTCCACCTCTGCAGTTACTAATGTCGCTTTACGTAAAACAAATGATAACGGTTTAGTTTAGCAGCCAGCAATAAAACGTTGTCTAAGTAGATTTTGAGGAACTTTTGGTATACAATACAAAAGAGGCAATGGGTTTTCGAAAAGCTGGTAAGAAAGTAAAGAAGCATGATAAGCCAAAATTGAAAAATTAAAGTAGGATTTCTTTGTTATCAAGCAAGCTTGTTTCGTTTTCAAGCAGGAAACATACCAATTTTACAATTGCTTTCTCAGGCGACACACTTCATTGTTTTCGACATCGCACGTAAGAAATTCAGACTTATCCAAATTTCAAGCTTCTAATTCTTTTTATACGCCCGTCAAATTTGACGGGAGTATTATGGTATGGCGTTGTCTGTCCGTCCGTCCGGCGTAAACTTTTGTTTGTCCGGCAATCTCCTACATTTTTCGACCGATCTCTTTGTATACATTATCATCATGATATGAAGTTGTGTCTCCCTGAAAAGATTCTTGATGCGACAATTTTTCAAAAGTTATTGCCCTTTGTTTATTTCAGTATTTGATATTTTGTCCGGAGATCTCGTCCTACATTTTTTGATGGATTTCTTTGAAACTTGGTATACATTATAATCATGATATGAAATTGTGTCTCCCGTAAAAGAATTTTGATTCGACGATTTTTGCAAAAATGAATGCCCTTTGTTTATTTCAGTATTTGATTTTTTGTCCGGAGATTTTCTCCTACATTTTTTGTAGCATGTCAGCTAACCACTCTTAGAATGATGCAGATCTTGTTTCAATGTAAGAAAGTATATAACACTATATGGCATTCGATGGGCGTATATTGTTCCGCCCCGCGGTTCTTTTGTTTAATGATAAACCTGATAGAATTAACTCATTTTTTCCTATTTTTGATTTAGTTCACGCAGAAACAGTCACTATCTTGTACATTTTCATTCCAATTGAAAGTAGAGGTTTCTCGATACTTTAGAACTTTCAAGGAAGATCTCGTAACTTCACATTATTGATATTTTAATATCACCATTGACTAATTGTCCAATTCTCGTAGGTATTTAAATCATTACATGTCCAGCTGAACCATTTTTGGCTAGAGAAGATGTAGAACAAGAACATGCTGAAGGCAGAATATTCTGTTGTCATAGTAATTCATATCTAAAGCGTGTAGGCAATCGTTTTTAAATACTTGTACGAAATATTTGAGCTTCTTTTGTATCTGAAGTACGGTGGTACAATTTGTATGTTAGCTTTGACAGACTTCTGGTGTAGGATACGGAGTGTGTCAACATTTATCCGTCCTGTTCAGTCGACTTCAGTCTGATACACGTGTTTATATAATATATATGTGCTAATAATTGAAAAAGTGTTTTAACCTTAATAAGAAAGGAAACCGCAGAAAATCCTTGTAGTCTGGCTGGTGACTTCATACATTCTCAAATTCAATCGAGGTCACAAACCCCAACTGTCTTAATGAATGGCTAACCACTGCGCCATTCGACCACCCTCTTTAACAGTTATGATCTCATCTGGCAAAAATGCTCTGTCCATTTAGTCGTCGTCCGTCCTTCTTAACTTTTTCTTATACTTTTTCTCCCTACAAAACCATATCTATAAAATATTTCTGCCTTTGTTTGTTTGTTGTAGAAGCTGGCTTATTGGAATAGTTAAACCAAGTCACAATGACCCACGTTCAGAGTCAAAGCATAAAACGTCTTAAGTAATTAAAATACCACTTCGTAATAACTACAAGGCCTAGATTTTGTCACTCAAGAATGTGTGCTCAAAGCGCTATTGAGTTAGTGCAAAAAACGTGTGTTCAATTTTTTTATTGACATTTACAAAACCAAATAAAATAGAAACTACACTGCTAACATTTTAGCAGAAAGTTATTGATATAATATATATCTAATTCAAAATATTTTATTTATAGATGAAAATGAAATTCTCTATAATGCAACTCATTTTAAAACAATCTATACATAAGTATGTTTTCCGAAACAATGGTAGAAACGAATTCTTTTCACATGATCTCACCATTCAACAATTTTAAAAAAATCAACTTTGTTTAACAGTTTTTATCCCCTCCACTTCTGTTTCGTGACCTTTTGCGACTACCTCGTTGATAGTCTCTATATGTGCTTCGGTATCTCCATTTGCAGCGACATGTTCCTCGTCTTTAATCGTTAACTTGATATTTACATCCGGGACGTTCCCTTTTACAGGGGAGATAACAGGTTCAGCATACGTAACCTCCATACCCTCTTTCTCTGTTTTCAACACGAACTCGTCGAGCTCGGCAGCCGCATCGTGAAACTACAAAACAATATAAAAACAATTTCAGACATATTCCTGCGATATCCATTTCGATAACATATTTTCAAAGGATCACAGAATAAATGCACCAGGAGTAAATTAATTTCTCAAAAAATAAATTTTAAAAAAACCCAAAAACCCCAAACAAACTTAAAAGCGTTACCTTTTCAGCCTGTTCAAAGTCGACGCCGAGTCGGAGCCGCTTCCTCCAAGACAAGGGGAGATAGCACATGACCTTATCCGCAAACGATACCAAGTATATTGGATTGGCATCCTCCGGTTTCATAGGTCCTATAAGCATAACAAACATAAATGATGCTAGTTTATATTGTTCTGTGTTGTCAACACATTTTTTTGCAATCAGAATTATTTGAAATCCATTTTTTAATTGGATATTTAAGGATTGAATCCTGTTTTATTGAGGTTTATGGGATTTCAACCTCTATAGGTCTTGAGACACCTTTTTGGCACTGCGAAGCAGTTCATATTGGATTTGTCTCAAGACAATGTTTAAGGTGTTTACCCCATACACCTAAAACAGGATTCTTTCCTTATGTTTACATTCAGTGCGATATTGATATTTTTTGGATTATTTCTAAAATATCAATCAAGTCTAACACCACGGAAGATACTGATGCTTATGAAGACTTCACTCACTGTGAGACGTCATCCTGGTAATGAATAACTTGTTTGCATTGATTGGATCGATTTTTTTAAAAATTAATTCTGACCAAAAAAAAACACCCAACAAATTGAGAACAATCTATTAATAGGACTACTTCCCAAGCTCCGTGGAATTACAGAGTAATCAGGTTGATAACATGCTGATGTATTCATAAGCCAACTTGATAGTTCATTGAAAAGAAACCTTTAAAATGTTTTTTATAGACATCTTGATTCCAGTTCATTAGAAATGTAAATATGTTATATAGAACTCTATTAACCTCGTGTGTCCGTCGAATCATGACTAACGTTATTGTACAGTAATGACTTCCCTGTACAGACTGATGAAGTTACTGGTAGAGTGATGACGTTACTGACAGAGTGATGACGTTACTGATAGAGTGATGACGTTACTGGTAGAGTGGTGACGTTACTGACAGAGTGGTGACGTTACTAACAGAGTGATGACGTTACTGACAGAGTGGTGACGTTACTAACAGAGTGATGACGTTACTGACAGAGTGATGACGTTACTGCCAGAGTGATGACGTTACTGGTAGAGTGATGACGTTACTGACAGAGTGATGACGTTACTGACAGAGTGATGACGCATCGGTTATAATGATGACGTAAGTATATGAGTGGTGGCGTATATGTACAGAATGATGATGTAACTATACAGACAAATGACTTATCTGTGGAGACAGATGTGTTACTTATGTATACAGACTGATAACTTAACTGTACTGACAGATGACATATATGTACCAGGTGATGACTTACCTGTACTGATTAATTATCTATCTGTACATATTGATTACGTAACTGCTCAGAGTGAAGACGTAACTATACATAGTTATGATGTAACTGTACTGTATTATGACAATACTGTACACAGCGATAACGTCACTGTACAGCGTAATGACGTAACCATACAGAGAGACGACGTAACCTGTGCAGAGAGATGACGTAACTGTTCAGAGAGATGACGTAACTGTTCAGAGAGATGACGTAACTGTTTAGAGAGATGAAGTAACTGTTCAGAGAGATGACGTTACTGTTCAGAGAGATGACGTTACTGTACAGCGTAATGACGTAACCATACAGAGAGATGACGTAACTGTTCAGAGAGATGACGTAACTGTTCAGAGAGATGACGTAACTGTTCAGAGATGACGTAACTGTTCAGAGAGATGACGTTACTGTACAGAGTAATGACGTAACTGTACAGAGTAATGACGTAACTGTACAGAGTGATAACATACCTATTTATACTGATAATGTACATTGATGTACCTGTACATGTTTGTACCTGATCAGGACGATGACCTACCTGTCATTAGACTGAAGATGGCTCCAAATATGAAGACAGTCAAGATGCCAATAACACTCAACCATAAGTAGGATATTGTGTATAACTTTGCGATACCTTCTCTGAAAATAGATATAGATAAGGGATATTGTAAAACCACTTATTTTGCGTTGTTAAATCCACCGTGAAGCAAACGGAACATTTGCCTGATATCCGGTGTGGAATTCGTTTCGGTATGGCCAAGGTCGATTCGGTAGATATTGAAGCGGCGATATCACTAAATGTGCATCAATAATAGTTTGATTACCCAATCCAGTGTAAATGTAAATACTTAATATTTGAATTGTAGAAAATTATCCAGTTACGTCATGGTCGAGAGAGCACTTCCAGTCTCGCTGGCTGGTCAATATATATCGAGAAATCTATATACAGATTCACCAAAGTAACAGCCTACAGTACAGGATGATGTTCACTCGAGCGTGACGCCAATCCCATGATTAAGGATGTTATGTCTGTGAAAGGAGGACACATTTTACGTGGAGGTAGGAGGTTTATGGGAGAAAAATGACAAATCTTTCCAGCGATACCTGGAAGTATCTGTACATCCAGTGGAAATGTGATTTTCGATGAGTGTGAGAAAAGAGAGTCGATTGTTTTGACATCGAGAGTTCTCCATCCCTTTCGATATGCCACCGTAAGAGGTGGCATTTCTCTAAACCCATAAAACGTCTAATATTACAATCTACACACCAGGAAAGGTCCAAACATACCAACTGGAACAGAGGATCGGGTCTCTGTGGTCTGAGGCCTGAACGTTAGGAAAAAACTCGTAGGCTAAGGGACATTAATTAGTTTTGGGCGTTCCTTCTGAACGACTCTTTGATTAGCTGTTCTAGTCCTTTGTATTAGGCAATTGAAATGAGAACATCACACGCGGTCTGTTATCTGACGTTTTTATCCCTGATCGGTTAAAATCTCTTCCAATGCATATTAGGGAATAACACTATATAGACCACTGCACATTTACAGTTGCATTTAGCAGCTTCACATCTTCCAGGCCTGATTCAGTATAAAGACGTACACAGATACGTTATTATACCTAAGTATTGCTGTGAGAAAGTTTGCGTGTTTCGGGCAACCTGAGCGCAATGCTGGATAGATTTAACCACACCAAGTTTGTCGAGAGTAAGGGACCAGCGTATAACGGCTACTTGGAAACGTTAATGGTTATAACACACCCAATGGCGAGGGCTGGGATCTTATATGGTCCTGTCCTATCTTAATTTGTATTTTTATTAGAATATTTACTTATGTAAGGAATGCAATGGGTTCTGTCAGCAGACCTGGACATACCAACGTCCTTTAAAGTGGTAGTTCCTTACTCCTTTAACGCTCAGCAATTAAAATGATGTGACCGGGTGGAATGAGTCCCCTAGGTTTACTGGAGGATAATCAGTCCCGAGGTTTACTGGAGGACTATCAGTCCCCGAGGGTTACTGGAGAATTATCAGTCCCCGAGGTTTGCTATAGAAATATTAGTCCCCGAGTTTTGCTATAGGAATATTAGTCCGCGAGTTTTGCTGGAGAATAATCAGTCCCGAGGATTACTGGAGGATAATCAGTCTCGAGGTTTACTGGAGGATTATTAGTCCCGAGGTTTACTGGAGGATTATCAGTCCCCGAAGTTTACTGGAGTATTATCAGTTCCTAAATTTGCTATAGGATCCTCAGTCCCTAAGGTTGCTAGAGGATTATCAGTCCCGAGGTTTACTGGAGGATTATCAGTCCCGAGGTTTACTGGAGGATTATCAGGTTTACTGGAGTCCCGAGGTTTACTGGAGGATAATTAGTCTCCGAGGTTTATTGGAAGATTATCAGTCCCCGAGGTTTACTGGAGGATTATCAGCCCCAAGGTTTACTGGATGATTATCAGTTCCTAGATTTGCTATGGGATCCTCAGTCCCTGAGGTTGCTAGAGGATTATCAGTCCCGAGATTTACTGGAGGACTATCAGCCCCGATGTTTACTGGAGAATAATCAGTCCCCGAGGTTTACTGGAGGATTTTTAGTCCCCGAGGTTTACTGGAGGATTATCAGTCCCCGAGGTTTACTGGAGGAATATCAGCCCCGAGGTTTGCTAAAGGATTATCAGTCCCCGAGGTTTACTGGAGGATTATTAGTCCCCGAGGTTTACTGGAGGATTATCAGTCCCCGAGGTTTACTGGAGGAATATCAGCCCCGAGGTTTGCTAAAGGATTATCAGTCCCCGAGGTTTACTGGAGGATTTTTAGTCCCCGAGGTTTACTGGAGGATTATCAGTCCCCGAGGTTTACTGGAGGAATATCAGCCCCGAGGTTTGCTAAAGGATTATCAGTCCCCGAGGTTTACTGGAGGATTATCAGTCCCCGAGGTTTACTGGAGGATTATCAGCCCCGAGGTTTACTGGAGAATAATCAGTCCCCGAGGTTTACTGGAGGATTATTAGTCCCCGAGGTCTACTGGAGGATTATCAGCCCCGAGGTTTGCTATAGGATTATCAGTCCCAAGGGTTTACTGGAGGATTATCAGTCCCCGAGGTTTGCTAAAGGATTATCAGTCCCCGAGGTTTACTGGAGGATTATCAGTCCCCAAGGTTAACTGGAGGATTATCAGCCCCCGAGGTTTACTGGAGGATTATCAGCCCCGAGGTTTACTGGAGGATTATCAGTCCCCGAGGTTTACTGTAGGATTATCAGTCCCCGAGGTTTACTGGAGGATTATCAGTCCCCGAAGTTTACTGGGGGATTATCAGTCACGAGGTTTGCTATAGGATTATCAGTCCCTGAGGTTTACTGGAGGATTATCCGCCCCCGAGGTTTACTGGAGGATTATCAGCCCCGAGGTTTACTGGAGGATTATCAGTCCCCGAAGTTTACTGGGGGATTATCAGTCACGAGGTTTGCTATAGGATTATCAGTCCCTGAGGTTTACTGGAGGATTATCCGCCCCCGAGGTTTACTGGAGGATTATCAGTCCCTGAGGTTTACAGGAGAAATATCAGTCCCGAGGTTTACTGGAGGATTATCAGTCCTGAGGTTACTGGAGGATTATCAGCCCCGAGGTTTACTGGAGAATAATCAGTCCTCGAGGTTTACTGGAGGATTATCAGTCCTCAAGGTTTACTGGAGGATTATCAGTCCCCGAGGTTCACTTGAGGATTATCAGCCCCGAGATTACACTGGAGGATTATCAGTCCCCGAAGTTTACTGGAGGATTATCAGTCACAAGGTTTGCTATAGGATTATCAGTACCCGAGGTTTACTGGAGGATTATCCGTCCCCGAGGTTTACTGGAGGATTATTAGTCTCCGAGGTTTACAGGAGAAAAATCAGTCCCGAGGTTTACTGGAGGATTATCAGTCCCCGACATCAGTCCCCGCGATCAGTCCCTGAGGTTTACCGGTGGATTATCAGTCCCCGAAGTTTACTGGAGGATTATCAGTCCCGAAGTTTGCTTTAAGATTATCAGTCCCCGAGGTTTACTGGAGGATTATCAGTTCCCGAGGTTTACTGGAGGATTATCAGCCCCGAGGTTTACTGGAGGATTATCAGTCCCCGAAGTTTACTGGAGGATTACCAGTCACGAGGTTTGCTTTAAGATTATCAGTCCCCGAGGTTTACTGGAGGATTATCAGTCCCCGAGGTTTACTGGAGGATTATCAGTCCCCGAGGTTTACAGGAGAAATATCAGTCACGAGGTTTACTGGAGGATTATCAGTCCCCGAGGTTTGCCAGAGAACTTTCAGTCCCCGAGATTTGCCGGAGAACTATCAGTCCCCGAGGTTTGCCGGAGAACTATCAGTCCCCGAGGTTTGCCTGATGACTATCTGTTACCAAGGTTTGCCGGATGACTATCTGTCCCCGAGGTTTGCTGGAGGACTATCAGTCCCCGAAGTTTACTGGAGGATTATCAGTCCCCGAGGTTTACTTGAGAACTATCAGTCCCCGAGGTTTGCTAGAGGATTATCAGTCCCCGAGGTTTTCCGGAGAACTATCAGTCCCCGAGATTTGCCGGAGAACTATCAGTCCCCGAGGTTTACTGGAGGATTATCAGTCCCCGAGGTTTACTTGAGAACTATCAGTCCCCAAGGTTTGCTATAGGATTATCAGTCCCCGAGGTTTGCCGGAGAACTATCAGTCCCCGAGATTTGCCGGAGAACTATCAGTCCCCGAGGTTTGCCGGAGAACTATCAGTCCCCGAGGTTTGCCGGATGAATATCTGTTACCAAGGTTTGCCGGATGACTATCTGTCCCCGAGGTTTGCTGGAGGACTATCAGTCCCCGAAGTTTACTGGAGGATTATCAGTCCCCGAGGTTTACTTGAGAACTATCAGTCCCCGAGGTTTGCTAGAGGATTATCAGTCCCCGAGGTTTTCCGGAGAACTATCAGTCCCCGAGATTTGCCGGAGAACTATCAGTCCCCGAGGTTTACTGGAGGATTATCAGTCCCCGAGGTTTACTTGAGAACTATCAGTCCCCAAGGTTTGCTATAGGATTATCAGTCCCCGAGGTTTGCCGGAGAACTATCAGTCCCCGAGATTTGCCGGAGAACTATCAGTCCCCGAGGTTTGCCGGAGAACTATCAGTCCCCGAGGTTTGCCGGATGAATATCTGTTACCAAGGTTTGCCGGATGACTATCTGTCCCCGAGGTTTGCTGGAGGACTATCAGTCCCCGAAGTTTACTGGAGGATTATCAGTCCCCGAGGTTTACTTGAGAACTATCAGTCCCCGAGGTTTGCTAGAGGATTATCAGTCCCCGAGGTTTTCCGGAGAACTATCAGTCCCCGAGATTTGCCGGAGAACTATCAGTCCCCGAGGTTTACTGGAGGATTATCAGTCCCCGAGGTTTACTTGAGAACTATCAGTCCCCAAGGTTTGCTATAGGATTATCAGTCCCCGAGGTTTGCCGGAGAACTATCAGTCCCCGAGATTTGCCGGAGAACTATCAGTCCCCGAGGTTTGCCGGAGAACTATCAGTCCCCGAGGTTTGCCGGATGAATATCTGTTACCAAGGTTTGCCGGATGACTATCTGTCCCCGAGGTTTGCTGGAGGACTATCAGTCCCCGAAGTTTACTGGAGGATTATCAGTCCCCGAGGTTTACTTGAGAACTATCAGTCCCCGAGGTTTGCTAGAGGATTATCAGTCCCCGAGGTTTTCCGGAGAACTATCAGTCCCCGAGATTTGCCGGAGAACTATCAGTCCCCGAGGTTTACTGGAGGATTATCAGTCCCCGAGGTTTACTTGAGAACTATCAGTCCCCAAGGTTTGCTATAGGATTATCAGTCCCCGAGGTTTGCCGGAGAACTATCAGTCCCCGAGATTTGCCGGAGAACTATCAGTCCCCGAGGTTTGCCGGAGAACTATCAGTCCCCGAGGTTTGCCGGATGAATATCTGTTACCAAGGTTTGCCGGATGACTATCTGTCCCCGAGGTTTGCTGGAGGACTATCAGTCCCCGAAGTTTACTGGAGGATTATCAGTCCCCGAGGTTTACTTGAGAACTATCAGTCCCCGAGGTTTGCTAGAGGATTATCAGTCCCCGAGGTTTTCCGGAGAACTATCAGTCCCCGAGATTTGCCGGAGAACTATCAGTCCCCGAGGTTTACTGGAGGATTATCAGTCCCCGAGGTTTACTTGAGAACTATCAGTCCCCAAGGTTTGCTATAGGATTATCAGTCCCCGAGGTTTGCCGGAGAACTATCAGTCCCCGAGATTTGCCGGAGAACTATCAGTCCCCGAGGTTTGCCGGAGAACTATCAGTCCCCGAGGTTTGCCGGATGAATATCTGTTACCAAGGTTTGCCGGATGACTATCTGTCCCCGAGGTTTGCTGGAGGACTATCAGTCCCCGAAGTTTACTGGAGGATTATCAGTCCCCGAGGTTTACTTGAGAACTATCAGTCCCCGAGGTTTGCTAGAGGATTATCAGTCCCCGAGGTTTTCCGGAGAACTATCAGTCCCCGAGATTTGCCGGAGAACTATCAGTCCCCGAGGTTTACTGGAGGATTATCAGTCCCCGAGGTTTACTTGAGAACTATCAGTCCCCAAGGTTTGCTATAGGATTATCAGTCCCCGAGGTTTGCCGGAGAACTATCAGTCCCCGAGATTTGCCGGAGAACTATCAGTCCCCGAGGTTTGCCGGAGAACTATCAGTCCCCGAGGTTTGCCGGATGAATATCNGATAATAATGATTTTACATTGATGGTGTTGATGATGATGATGATGATGATGATGATGATGATGATGATGATGATGATGATGATGATGATGATGATGATGATGATGATGATGATGAATTGATAGGAGAATGATGATGATGATGATGATGATGATGGATTGATAGGAGAATGATGATGATGATGATGAAGAGGCATTAATAATGACGAGTTTACATTAATGATGATGATGATGATGATGATGATGATGATGATGATGATGTATTAAGATGAGAATGTATTAAGATGAGAATGGTAATGATGATAATGGTGTATTACTATTGATGATGAGTGACAAGGCTGATGATGATATTCAGTCACGATGAGGATGAGGATTAAAGAGATGACGATGCAAGAGACAAACCATGCAAATGGGAATTGTATGTATGTGGGTGTATGTGGTGTTTACGTATTTATGTTATGAAAATGTCTAAAATAAAAAAAAATAAAAAAAAATAAAAAAAAAAATATTCATTTGCAATAAGACAAGCTATCAGTTTGAATAAAAAAATCCTCTGGTTCTTAGCTAAAGCAATTTTTCATGTATATTACAAATTAACGTTTTCACACACAGAAAATTAAACAAAAGATGTATCCGCAATGAAGAATGAGACAGTTTCAAACAGGTTTATGTTATATATTATGAAAAGTTCTTGTTACACAACCAATACGTGTTTCTATGCGATGTTTCGATGACTTGTCCAGTGAAGCGTATGCACACAAAGGTGTAAAATGTGTACGAGTTGTCCACATATCGATGTCGATTCGGCTACGCTGTAAGCGTATTGTGCAATAGTTGTTATATATGTACCGAAATGACTCGATTCAGCTACGCTTTGTTTAATACTTGGTCAGTCTATGAGCCCCATCATCTCGATTTAGAACTGGGCCACTGCGGCGTATCCATATAGTTTCCTTTATCTGCCGCTGGAACAGATTGCTCTCTCTGTCTAATACTATGGAGAAAAGTTTTATGTTCTATTTCAATTTGTACAACCATAATCACCTGGACCAAGTTGCCTCCCACCAAAGATATGAGAAAGGCCACGCAAACAGCCAAACAGCCGAAGAATACCACTGGAAATAAACAGAAAACGCCACTTATAAAATAATGTATAGTTCTGTGGTTTGGACACGGGTTTGCTCAATTACAGTACCACTCGTCAAAATTACCTATTGTACGTACAGAACTCGGCAGTTGATTTCAGACAGTCATTTATATCTAACAGGGCCACGGTCTTACTTCAGGCCCAACGTTTTAACGATAGAGATCTAATTACACTGCAGCACATATCAGTAATAGTTGGTATTGTAAATAAATGAATGATCACTTTCATGTATTTTTCCATTTCGCTGATGCCGAACTTATCATGATAAAGTGATATTTCTTTCTAACATTCAAATCTTTTGAAAATATATATTTATCTTTTTATTATTTCAACCAGACCAAGATTCGCTTTTCTTTGACGTAGCAGCTCTATTATAACTGCTTTTTCAAAGAACCCTTTATTTCGTATTCTTAATTTTATGTTATAATGGGTTTCGTAGGTAGTTCCTTTATTGCTGTATTCTATATTTGTTTAGGAACACGTTAGAGAGCAGTTTTAATTCGTTTGACCCGAAGCACCACCAATGAGTCCTTAATTGACGAAGGATATCATATAGTGCCTTTGTCATACTTTCTGCTTTACAAACAATTTTCTAATTATATCTCCTTTTATCGCTAGACGCTATGACATGAAGGTACTATTTCCTTGTTCAATGCTATTAACACTGTATATGTAATTTATATTACAGTTAAAGATTCATCATTTCTTTCACATACTGCTGGTGATTAGGGTTAGAGTTATGTCCCGGCCTGGGGACTGAACCCTTTGCCTTCCTCACCTGGGCAAACTCTCAACATTAAAGCAAATCTGAGTTATTGCAAGGCACAAGGAAATAAAAGGTAGTTAGAAGTAGAGAGAAATATTAAGATCCCAACTATTTCAATTTGTGCAGCAGATTTAATTTAGTCGCTTTTGTGTTCTCAAGTAGAGAGCACAAAGCAAATCCCCAATTCTGCAAGGGATTCCCACGTAAGTCGCCCCTTACGATATTCCTTTCTCGCTCCCCGACCTGCAGGGGTGTGTTTTTGTTACAGTTAAGGCCATACCCTACTAACACATTATACCCGTTTTTGTGTTAGATTTAAGGCTATACATTCCCTTACACATTATGCCCGTATTTGTGTTAGAATTAAGGATATACCCTACCTTACACATTACACCCGTATTTGTGTTAGATTTAAGGCTATACACTCCCTTACACATTATACCCGTATTTGTAAGGCTATACCCTCCCGTACACATTATGCCCGTATCTGTATTAGAATTAAGGATATACCCTACCTTACACATTATACCCGTATTTGTGTAAGAGTTCAGGCTACATGTTACCTTAAACATTATACCTGTATTTTGTGTAAGAGTTAAGGATTTATGTTACCTTACACATTATACCCGTATTTGTGTTAGATTTAAGGCTATACCCTACCTGACACATTATTCCCATATTTGTGTTAGAATTAAGGATATATCCTACCTTACACATTATACCCGTATTTGTGTTAGAGTTAAAGCTATATGTTACCTTACACATTAAACCAAGTTTTTTGAAAGAGTTAAGGCTATACCCTACCTTACACATTATACCCGTATATGTGTTAGAGTTAAGGCTATTTGTTACCTTACACATTATACCAAGTTTTTTGAAAGAGTTAAGGATATACCCTACCTTACACATTGTACCCGTATTTGCATAACAGTTAAGGATATATCCTACCTTACACACTATACCCGTATGTGTGTGTAAGAGTTAAGGAAATACCCTACCTTACAAATAAAACCCGTATTTATTTAAGAGTTAAGGATTTTTGTTAGATTTAAGGATATATCCCAGACATATCCTTCCTTATTTATATACCCGTACTTTGTTTTAGAGTTAAGGTTGTATGCCACCCGACACAGCAGAACTGTTTTAAATTGAGAATGTATTACCTCACACATTATAGTGATTCTTTGGTGATGTCCGAACTGTGACATAACTTATAGCCTCGTTATGATGATTACCTTGATCTGATCTATGACATGTAACCTTACTGTGTTCCTCTCATTGTCATGTGACGTACCTGCTAGCTTAGCGATGACAGTGGCCTTGAACTGTGACATTGGTTTGGTGTGAGGTTTTATGACGTCAGTGTACAGGAGAGCAGACATACTACTCAAACCGGAAGACAGGGTGCTGAAGAAGAGAAAGAAGTTACGATTTATTTATAGCGCAAAGGTAATAGTGTATATTAATTTCACGTTTGAAGCTCACGAGTATAATACATTACTAATGTACTTAAAACGTATCGTCAATAGGCTCATCCCGTAGCAATTGTAAAATTTACCGAAATAATATTGTCCTTCGCAATTACAAATGAAAAAGTAAAAAAGAAAATCATACAAGTTTTGAAAGCGACCTGTTTAAGTCACAGTTCATATCCGAAAGATGAGTGTAAGACACATATTTGATATAAACTGCTGCCGAAACAAAAGGTGAGTTGCAAAAAAATCCCTTAATTACAAGAATTTTTAAAAACAAGTAAAGGAGCAATGATTGATTTCAAATCCAGAGAGTATCATGTTTCAAAGACTTGCGTCACATGCACGTGCACCTGAGAGAAGCACTGAACAATGACGCAATGAACAGGCCTGGCATGCCGGGAAGATTCTTGAAGATGTCCATCACCATAAACGGTATCAGCTGTAACCGAGGAAACAGTTCATTATGGTAACGTGTCATGAACATCTTTCATTACCAATAATCAAAGCCAGCTTTAGTTTCGGAGTATTATTGACACTCGGGCTAGATAAGCAAAAATAAATAAATAAAAGGGTATGCCGGGTGGCGGATTCTTACACCCTGATTTTGTTGATGACGCTAGACTCCCCTGATTTGGTATACCGATCTAGACCTTTAATAACTAACGGTATTGGGTCTGAACAAGGATTGAAACATAGATCACGTAATGAATTTAGCAAGCCTTTTTTTCATCTGGGAGAAAGACAGCGGAGTAGAGGAGTCTTAGCCTACGAATTCTGGTTCCCACCCATAGACAAATATTAATGTTTGACTTATACAAATATACATGCTTGTTATTCAGAATTATTTATGTTTGTGTTATTCACTGGCTCTTCAAACCCGGTGTAATTTGTTTGTAACATTCACTCAACAACGCTAGTCAAGGTAAATTTTACGTAACGATACTAATGTGACCGGTCTGGATCCAATTTTGGTTTTAAAGATTGGTTTACGTTAAATTAAGCTGTGTATACTTTCTTGTTTGCTTACATAATCAGGACCTGTCGGTTTATTTACCTTTCTGAGACCGACACTATGTTTAACTTATTGGTTGACTTTACCTGGTCGGAAAAGACAATCTGTTTAGACTTTATTGGTTTACTCACCTGGCCTAGGTTGATTAACGATGTTAATTACTTATTTGTTCACTGGCCTAGTTATGATTGAAGTTATGTTTTAGTTACTCCATAACTAACCTAGTCAGGATTGAGAAGATATGTTAACATTTGTGTATATTTGCTAACCTTGTTCCGATTGACGGTATTCCCTAACTAATTTGCGGGCTTACATGGTGACAAGGTCAGGACGACATGTTTAAACTTACTTATTTAATTCTCTGGTTAGGTTGACTATATGTTTTAACTTGTAGGTTTACTAACCTCTACAAGATCGATGATATAATTAATTTATTAGTTATCTAACATTGTCGGCACACCCTTAAATGGCCTTTACTGTTGATGGGACGTTTAACAAAATAACACTAAACCTACCCTTGTCGTAGTGATGGATGTCTTGACTAAATGGTAGATTTACCAAGGTTTAATTGACGATGTCTTTTACTTAACTGGTTTACTAACCAGGTTATATGAATAAAGATATATGTAACTAACTGGTTTACTAACCTGGTTAGAGTTGGTGATCTGTTTTGATCTGAATGATGATATGATTTAACTTTTCTGGTTAATTGACCTCATCATTATCGACTCAATTATTTACCTTACTACTTTTCTCTTACCTTTTCCGTGAGTGCTTATATTTTCTAACTTATCATAATGGTAGATTTAAATGTTTTTACTAACAAAACATCTACGTTACTGGTTTACTTACCAGGTTAAGATTTTTACATAAAAAATAATTATTGCCAATTAATTAGAACAAGAGATTGGGCAAAAGTTATTACAACCCATCATAGGCTTCTCCCGTCATTCATTAACAATAACATGACAACAATGATATTAGGCATGAACATGAAGTAAATATATATAATATTCACACAGACACAAATACCAAACATAAAAAACACCGTTCAAAATCTATTGCTAGAAAACTGACACTCAAAAACAAAGATGCGAAAGGCATATTCTCACATGGATGTCATCGGATGCAACCTGGACTTTCGACAAGATTCACTCTATAAAGGTCATACTTAAAGGAACTATACCTGTGCCTCAGTTTAGTATGGATAATATTCAACATTCTTTCTCCACAACTGAAGTAGATAGGAGGGGGTGGTTGTATATTTAAAGTAAGAAAGTTTTTAAATAAATCTATGGAAGGCAACTATCCTACTGAGGAGTCTAGCGAGTTCCAGCTACGAAGAGTGGAATGTATAAAGACGGGATTTGTAAGATAAAGCCCAAATAGAGGAATTCTATAATCACTGGAATTTCTAAGAGTGTAACGGTTATTTTCTGCAATAGGAGGCAGGAGATCGTTTAAATATTGAGTTTTCTACGTTTTCGACGATTCAAAAGAGTTTCTAAACATGTTTCAAAATGTAAATCTTCGATACTGGCATATGAAGGAGGCGAAGGCCTGTTATAATACGAGCAGGTTCTTTTGGATTTCTCTAACTTTTTACGATTCAAATTTAGTACAACCATCCCATAATTCACACGCATATTCTAAAACTGGTCAAATAAATGATTTTAAAAGACTATTTCTATTTAGCAAATATTTGGTTAAGATAAAAGATAAGTTACAGTGTTTAACTAACCTGGTTGGGATTGTTGATCTGTTTTGACTTAAGTGGGTCACACCCTAGTGTATGGTAATAGGCGTAAACCACAATTCCCTCTATAGCGGCACAGGTCAGGGTGATACTGAAGGCTGGGGCGGTGATAAACAGCATCCTTGTGGGAACATAAAATATTATATCAAATAAAAAAGTCATGATAATGATTTGGTTTGGTTTGGTTTGTTAGTGTTATACATTATTAACAGCTATGGTCACTTTAAGGACGTGCCAGGTTTTGGTGGTAGAGGAAAGCCGGAGTTCCCCGAGAAAAACCACCGACCTACGGCCACTACCTGGCGACTGCCCCACGTACATGTAGGTCTCGAACCCGAGACCCAGTGGTGGAGGGCTAGTGGTAGCAGAATGTCAGATGCCTTAACTATGATAATGCAAGGCGATTCCATATATGTAGCAATATCGTCGGAATGTCTCTGTATTTTCATGAAATATTTGTTTCAACGTCAATTCCATAAGCATTAAGAATGTTGTCATAAAAAGTATGCAAGTTAGTGTGAGTGTCCTGTCCGCTAGTTCATGTGTCATTGTCCTTTTGGTTTCTTTAAGATAGCTAACATGAATTTATTTAAGAACATGAAACAGCACTATCTAGCTTTTTTTTTTGCAGTTTCCGATAGCCTTTGATCCTTATGGTTGAACGAGTTGATGTACAAAATTACCAATTGTACAGGTAGATATCTATCTATCAATAAATGTTATTTTACATGACCACATAAAGTATCTGGAAGGTCAGAGACAATGAAAAAACCCACTATACCTGAAAGTGATTCAAGACATTGGTAGGTTATTTATTACATTACAGACTTGTTAAAGTTTTAAATAGATCCTGTACCAGTCAACGGTCTACAAAAGTTTACTACTACACGCGGGACTCTCCAGTGTGTACATGACTCCATTGTCCTGGCTGACCATACTGGACTGAAGATACATCTTGTAGATGACACTTCAGGATGAACTTTGAACCAGTGACGTTTATATACATAATCTTGTATTAAAAAGGATCATATTCACATAACAAAGAAAAAAATTACATATTTCTCTAACATTTCAATGCTGAAATGTCACTTCACGTGACATTCATTTCATCTTTAGACATCATATACCGTGGAAGGGATTCGTCTTGAAAACCTGAGAACAAGAACCACGGAAGTTTTTAATTGGAAAGAAAATATTATTTCAAAATTTAAAGTTAATGACCAAAACACTAACCCGGCTTTACAATCTGGAAACATAATGTGAGCAGTTATAATGCATTAAAGTAAACAGATACCGCGTTGTTTGTAGACGGGTACGAACATTGTTTACATTCATGACTTGAGACTTACAAGGTCTCTATGAATTTTAGAATACATTCAAAGGGACTGTATCCTTTATGCAATCAATGACAAGTAATAGAGCTTAAAGGATTGTGATAACAAACGCAGTAGTTTAATACCCAAGAAACACACGAGGGATTAGAGGGTCACACCGGGTCAAAAGGTCATACTATCGGTAAGTGGTTGATATTAAATAGATATCCTACAAATGTACCAATATGCAAATTATAAAAGGAGACGATACGGATCGGAATCATTCCATAATATGCAAGAGGTCAATTATAAATTTCACTTACTCCCAATCAAAGTACAGATTAAAAAGAGCATTATACAGTAACACAACAGTAAGTCACACCTTTTGGCGTCCTTAACAGTGGGCGTGGCACTGATACGCTGGATAGTCGACTGGTTGAACATAAAGCCGAAACCTCGAATCAGAGACCCAATACATAAGTTCCAAAACGTGTGCCGTACTGTTGGGTCCGGATCAAAGCTACAATGGAAAAACATATTATCAGAGCATGATGCTGTATAAGGCTATGTGTCCAATTGCAAGCAAAACACTGGAACTTAATTGTTGTTATTATAAAGTGACGGTTCCGCATAGTAGTTCCCTTCAAGATCTTCTAGTCTTATTCCCCTCGTACGTTTTTAAGGTTTTCAGTGTACTTTTTCCATTGTTCATTGTTTACCCCTATTTTATTGATTTTGAGGTCAAATTGCTGTTCGTTAACATTTTGGTATTATTATCTTGCTTTTTCTTGTCCAAAGAAACTTTCCTGTTTTATCTTTAGTGTGTTTTATTTTAAATTAACATTAGCCGGTTTTTACGGTTCACAAGGACCAATGTATACTGTATGTCTTTTTCATAGATATTGTGTGTAATGATTTATATCTACTGTGTTTCACTAATCATATCTACTCTCTGTCATGATTGATATACAGAGGATTTCAACCTTCATTTCATTACGTTAGATTTTTATGAAACGAGCTTTAGCGAAACTTCTATAAGACACTACATATATGTACAGGGAATCTTACTTAAACAAGTTAACGCGTCCGTTCTCATTGGCTATCCTCCAGGTCTCCTTTACACCACCTGCATCTATGGAACCCTGCATTATACGAAAACATGGTGTGATCACGGATCAAGTGACCTTGTATGGTTCATTATTGTCATCTGCTAGCATACCTAGATAATTCATAGATTATATTTACATTTCTACTCCAAGTTCTTCTATAATCATTAATAGAAGACACTGCGTTCATAAAGCTATGAACGCAATTTCATCAGCGTCGTTTTGAAGCTTCTCTTTACGCCTTAAATAACATGAGACAACCGTTAAAAGGAAAACGTATTGCTGACGTTATGCTGTTCACGGAATCACGTTTGCACTGACGACACAGAATCTTAAATAATGAAAAAAGGTCAATAATACAAAAAAATGTAGAGTCTAAATGCATGGATGGAACGCCATTTTTTTTTCAATGTCCATGCCGGTATGAACACAAATCGGTTACATACATATCTACCATGAAGCTCTAGTGGGCTTTAGAGAGTATATGGATCACAGCGCACAGACTGTATCAAGGGAGCTAACAGTGATGGGTACAGCTTGATCGCAATGTCAAAAACGAAGTGGTTCCAAAGTCTAAACAAATTCATTAAGCTAAAATTTGTAAGCATTGCTGGATTATATACAAACCAAACTCAGAAAACTGACCTCGATAACAATGGTTTGGTTGCGAAGTCCAAATTGAATAAACGGTTGTGAACTTGATGAATATGGCTGATTTACAAAGTCCGAACGAATAAGATAGCAATTGCTGTTTGAGCCAAACACCAGAGCAAAAACCAAACAAAGGAAGAAGGGAAACATCTATCAACTATCTAAACCTATAGTCAACAGTGAGTATGGATGGATTGCAAAGTCCATATAAGTATGGCTACCATCCTGGTTTCATTACAATGATGAACTTAAGATGCACACCTTTGATTGAAAATAAGGTCGCCTTCTTATATTAGCACAACAAGCATCATCATATCGGAGCTTACCTTTGTAGATAAAGCTGCCCAATCCCAAATACTCTAGGGCTATGCTCTGTAACCCTGGAATATGTCATAGCAAAATTGAGGGGTCCCAACCCGCCACATTGTGGATGATACATATATCCACAAAATCACGCGAAACGGTCAAATTGATTGCTTTTGAAGTCGGTTGTCGCTCCTCGGTAATCTTCAAAAGACATGTATCAGCCTAGCAATAAGTCAGTTTTGTTTTACATGAGACCATTCAGTTAGCTTGCCATTTTTCCATGAACTATTCCAGGGGTGTAGAGAGCACAAGGGGGCGTAGCTCCCGGAGCATCAATGATGGTAGCAGCAATCTCGTCATTATCAAAATGGCTACGACCACTGTATCTATTTTTCAAATAACGGAGCTTACCTTTATAAGTATAGCCGCCATCCCTGTATACATTACAGCAGCTTGAAACACATCTGTCCATATAACGGCCTTTAGTCCTCCCTGAAACAGGATAATGTCGAAAATTTAGAATCAATTATGTAATACGATCTGGCAATTTGATCTCAGATGATACGTGGCGTCAAAAATTATTGTGAACCTCTTAACATATCATCATAGAAAATAGTTGCAAATACAATTCATGCTACGTCATTTCAGGATGACCACTGTCAGATGTTCGACAGCAAACTAGGCTTACAATATAGAAGTATATTTGACATCTAAGGATATGATTAAAACAAATCCCTGCTTCCAATGGAAGTGTTTAGGCAGAATGTGACTATTGTCACATGAACACCAACACAACAGAGGCATATATATGTGATAACAAACAATACTAAGAATCGGAATAAAAGACACTAAAGTGATATAATACGTTTATACATTTAGGAGACCCCATTTGAAAAAAAGTTTTTCTATGGCTTTAACGGGCAATCCCAGGATAAGGCATTATACGTAAATTATAGATATCAACTTTGTAAATTACCTACGTATATGAAATTGTTCTGTTGTGTTAGTGTATGCCTTTTCCTGGATAGATATTTGAAGTATTTGATATTTGATCATGACTAAAAAAATATTTGATCATTCGCCAAACAATATTTATAATTGAAATAGAAGTACACGTGACAACAAATCAATACTTACAATAGAAGTACACGTGACAACAAATCAATACTTACACTAGAGGTACACGTGACAACAAATCAATACTTACAATAGAGGTACACGTGACAACAAATCAATACTTACAATAGANCTTACAATAGAAGTATATTTGACATCTAAGGATATGATTAAAACAAATCCCTGCTTCCAATGGAAGTGTTTAGGCAGAATGTGACTATTGTCACATGAACACCAACACAACAGAGGCGTAAATATGAGATAGCAAAACAATACTAAGAATCGGAATAAAAATGACTATTGACTACAGCATAATACGTTTATATATTTAGGAGACCCCATTGGGAAAGAAGTTTTCTACTGCTTTAACGGGCAATACCAGGGTAAGGCATTATACGTAAATTATAGATATCAACTTTGTAAATAACCTACGTATATGAAATTGATCTGTTGTGTTAGTGTATGCCTTTTCCTGGATAGATATTTTTAGCATTGACTGTGATCAACGAAAGATCACAAACACAATACTTACAGTACGGATGACCATGACTAAAAAAAGATTTGATCATTCGCCAAACAATATTTTTTAATTGAAATAGAGGTACACGTGACAACAAATAAATACTTACAATAGAGGTACACGTGACAACAAATCAATACTTACGATAGAGGTACACGTGACAACAAATCAATACTTACAATAGAGGTACACGTGACAACAAATCA